AACAGGATAAAGGAAGATTGCAGTAAAAAATCCAGTTATACTCCTGTTAAGATTAGCGGATATACAAATAATAGAAAATATTTTAGAATAGACTATTACAGATGATCGCTACTCATGTTATTAAACTTAAATATATTACATGAATTTCATAAACATTTGTTGAAAAAAATCTCTATTTAAAATATAATGTGCATTTATGGGGAATACTTCGATTTTGACTTTTCGTCAAAAATTTCAAATATCGAAATAATAGTAAAACGACTTTTGGATCTTTCGATTGACTTGCCGGTTGAATGTATAATGAAAGACTTTATACTATTTTGAATTTTCACATCGTAAGTCCTTCTCCACACTTTAGGTAAGTCCGAAAAATATATCAATCCACTCTCTTACAGAAAGTGAATCATTAACAATAGTCGGGATATAGTGCAAGTTCTTCACTTAAAAGTTTCAAACATTGTTTTAAATATTGGCCTTTTTGTCCTAAACTTTAAACCATTGCAGTATCTAGACTTTATATCTCTAGACTAAACCTCTCAAATGCTTATTCCACCTTCATTTTCGAATCTCTTTAAAATTGCAAGGAAATGAATTAACGGTCCTTCAGTCAGGTCACCACTTTCGTCTGGAGCATATCCCTTTTTAGAAGATACTAGGCATCAAAATATTGTTTGAAGAAGATAATATACAGAATGAAGACATTTAGTCTGGTCGACGCAATATATGTTCCAGTTAAGTTAATAGTACAATTCATACATGAGTTATTGCAGAAAGATTACTCAAATGACTCAAATTAAACAGTGACACAAGTTGTGGCTCAAAGATTGATCAGAGACTTTGGGGATAAAGATCTTGAGAATGCCGAAGAACAGATTTGCCATCCATTTTAAGGATCTTTAGCCATAGCAGACTTATTGAAGGCCTTTTATTCAAAGGAACCGGTCTTCTGTGTATAGAAGATATATTAAACGTCTCCTAGCCATAGAAAATCTACTAGACTAGATCTGGGCTGAAAGACGCCTTCTGGTCAAAAAACTCCTGCCAAAAAATCTGGGGTTGGAACTTTTTCCAAGTCATTAAAATTCTGAAAATATTTTGTTTTTCGGTCCATGAAATGAAGGAAGAAAAAGTCTATATCTTTTTATACCCTCCACCAAAAAAGGTATGGAGGGTATATTAAGTTTGTCATTCCGTTTGTAACTCATCGAAATAATCATTTTAGACCCAACAAAGTATATATATTCTTGATCAGCGTAAAATTCTAAGACGATTTATCCCAGTCCGTCCGTCTGTCCGTCTGTTGTAATCACGCTACAGTCTTAACGAATTAAGATAGGAAGCTAAAATTTTGCACAGATCTCTCTTTTGTCTGCAGGCAGGTCACGTTCGAAGATGGGCTATATCGGTCCACGATATCGTATAGCCCCCATATAACGGTACCCCCCGATATTTGGTTTTTGATGATTTTACCCACATTTTTCAACGGAATTGTCTGAAAATCCACAAAAGGAGTCCCTTGTGGGCATTTTACCTCCTCAAAATGAAGTGTCTATATAGGTCCACGATATCGTATATCCCCCATATAACTGTAACCCCCGATATTCGGTATTTTGATGATGTTAGCCACGCTTTTCAATGGAATTGTCTCAAAATCAACACAAGTAGTTCCTTGTGAGTACTTCACCCCCTGAGAGAGAATTGTTTATACAGGTCCACGATATCGTATATCCCCCATATAACGGTACCTCCCGATATTCGGTATTTTATGATTTGACCCACATTTTTCATCGGAATTGTCTGAAAATCCACACAATGAGTTCCTTGTGGGTACTTTATACCCCGGCAGAGAATTATTTATATAGATCCACGATATTGTATAGCCCTCATATAACGGTACCCCCGATGTTCGGTATTTTGATGTTTTTAGCCATATTTTTTAACGGAATGGTCACAAGGGGTTCTTTGTACACAAGGGGTTCTTTGTACACAAGGGGTTCTTTGTGAGCACTTTACCCACCGACAGAGAATTCTCTATATAGGTTAACGATAACGTATAGCTCACATATAACGGTACCCCGCGATATTCGGTATTTTGATGATTTTAGCCACATTTTCCAATCGTATTGTCTGAAAATCCACACACGGAGTTCCTTGTGAGTACTTTACACGCAGATATAGATTTGTCTTTATAGGTCCACAATATCGTATATCCCCCCATATATCGGCACCTTCTTATATTAGATATTTTAAAGATTTTAAAAGAATTTTTATTGGATTTTATTTTTTTGAAAATTTTCTAATTCGTTCCAAATGGTGGAGGGTATTCAAAGTTCGGCCCGGCCGAACTTATTGCTTTTTTACTTGTTCTTTTTCGTCTAGTTAAGAGTTATAATGATAAAATGATCTTCAGAAATCTTCATGCGATTTGGCTGAAGAAATGTGATCTCAAAAATAAGCTACGACTTCAGCATACACTTCGACGTGACAAGAAAAAAATCATCACGTGTTAAAATCAGGCTGGCCATGAGGATCGGGATTGAATATTGGGTCCACTTCAGTCTTTTCCGTTGAAATCGGTTGGAAAAAAATTAAAAACCTTAACGTCGATGGTACCGGTTTCCTGATAAAATGGCTGTCAAAGTGTCAAATTAAAAAAATCTGCAATAAGCGAAATATTGAACCTATCCCAACAGTCTTCTGTCACAGAAGACAGAGTCCGTTACAACCTCTACATATCGAATTTTAAAGAAGTCCCCTGAAAATCATCGACATACCAAATATAGCGAAGTGCTGAAACGAGGGGGCCTACAGCAACATGTGAACCTTTACAGGCCATGATCTGCCACAGAAAGTAGAACCCATTTGAAAATGTTGCTCATATCGTTTGAAGGTACGGTTATATGGGGCTATAAGAAAAAGTGGACCTATGACTATGACTATGTTCTGTCACCGGAGGTATAACCTGTTAGAATCTGAAGTACCGAAGTTTTAATGGTTGTGATAGAAAATATGATATAAGTCGTCAAAATACCAAATATCGAGAAGTACCATGGTACGAGGGCTACAGAAAAACGTATACGAATTAGAACTCATAACAAAATCTTTGAACCGAATTATAAATAATTCCATTTGAAAATTTGGTTTCAATTTGTAAGATACCGAATATCGGCAGAAACTGTTATATGGGGGCTATAAGAAAGCACGGACCGACTGAAAAAATACACATGTGTGCAACAATTTTTCCCTCTATTTCAATTCGTTCCAAGGATTGCGAGATTACAACCGACCTTCAAACGGACATCGCTAAATCGACTTAGAATTTTACGCTGAAGAAGAATATATCTACATTGTAGGGTCTAATATGCGTATTTCGAGAAGTTACAAATGGAATGACAAAGTAGGTATATCCTCCATACTATGGTGGATGGTAAAAAAATTATTACGCCATTACTCAGAAGATCAACTTACGGTGAATCTGTCCCTCGGATTATAAATATGCGACATTTCATCCTCAAAACAAGTAAAAAAGTTGAAAGTTAGGCCAGCTCGAACTTTGAATAACCTCCACCATTTGGAACGCATTCGGCAACTCTCAAAAAAAAAAAAAAAAAAATATAGTCCGTTAAAAATTCTGTTAAAATCTTGAAAATAAAAAATTTAGCCGTCTTATTAGGGTCTAAACGAAACCGTGGACCTGCATAGTCAACTTTTGTCATAAGCCGTTACAATATTCAAATGCGAACAATCATCAATATAGGAAGGTACTATTATATGGGGGCTATACCAAAAGGTGGACTTGCACATAACTTTTTCTGCCTTAGGTTGCAGTATCCATTGCGAACTTCAAATACTAAATTTCAAACAATTCCGATCAATAATGTCGCTGAAATCATCAAAATACCGATTATCGGGACGTACCGTTATATGGAGCTATACCAAAACGTGGACCCACATGGCTCATTTTCTATACCAAAAGTCCTGTATTTGAGTAAAATTTTATCAATCTACTTCATTTCGTTCGGAAGCTAGAGTGATTTCCACAGATGGGCAGGCCGATAGACATCGCTAAATCGAAATAGTATTTTATGCTGATCAAGAATATATGGGTCTGAAAGGAGTGTTTCTGGGAGTTAGAAACGGAATGACAAACTTAATATACCCTTCATACTATGGTGGAGGGTATAAAAAATGTTTAAAAAGAAGACAATTCGACCCAAACGTAGAAAGATCTCATACTGGTTGAAAATGGTTTGACGGTTTCTGGATCAACTCGAAGTTCCGTTTATGCTCATATGAGATCCCCAACCATTTGTGGAGAAGTTGCCATAGAGATTGTATGAAGTCTGTAAAATGTTGACAATCAATTATAGATTTGTGTGGACTATTTAATGGAAGGACTTATGTGTGAAGCCTTTCAAAATATAGCTGATGCAAGAATTAAAGCCGAAAGACTTACAGCAACGCAGAATTTTTTGTGAATGGGCTCTTGAAAAGTTAGATAAAATTTTTATGGGAAAATAGAAATCAGCGTCGAAGCTGAATTAGTACGTAAATAAGTAGAATTGTCGACATTGGAGTGAAGATCAGCCAGAAGCATTCCAAAAGTTACCAATGCATCTAGAAACAGTCAAAGCTTGGTGCGTTTTTTTTTTGGACTGGTGGCATTCTTCAAATATGTTGCGAATCATAACGTAACTTTTTTGGAAGCTACAGCTAAATCTCTAGTAGAAATGTCATTAAAAGGTTGGAAATAGGTTCGGGAGACTTGCTAATTTACAGACATTACAAGGTCTCCAAAAACCATTTCCTTAGAAATTAGTGAAAACAACTGGAACTCAGATCCTGGGAGAAAGAAAGACTTCGAATTCCGAAGAGCAGAAGGCTTGAGTGGAACTTTTTATGGTGTGGTGCATTTCTGCTTGTAACCTGAAGGTCTTGGTTAAATATAATTGTCTAGTCAAATCAAAAATATTTTTTGTAGAATGTATCTATTTTCGAATATTAATAAAAATTTCAGAATTCTTCCAATACTCATAAAGACCTTTCAAGGATATTCATCCTCAGAAAATCGGTTAACGATGCTATTTGACTGCTTGTTGGCTTAAGTAAAATTATGGGAATTGCAATATACAATGTTCGCAGAGACTTTTCGGAATTTTCCAGTCATATTATTTTTTCAATCCTCTCTAAAAGTGTTTGATCTATCCCTACTCTATCATCATGGCCATTATCAAGCTATTGGAAATATACTTCAAATGTTGATTATTTTTTAAATTATTAAAGTTTGGTGAATTTAAAAACGATCCCTTAAATATTCAAATACTAACTTTCAAAAATATATAGTTTAACTTAAGAAAACAAAATAAACCCTCAAATATTAAACTATCTCAAAAACTATTGCAGCTTGCCCCACGCATTGTAAGGTATTTAATAAACTATTCAACTTATACGTGTATGAGAGTGTGTTTTTTTTTTTTTTTTTTTTTTTTTTTTTCTTACAAAGCTACCGTATCATCGGTGAGAGTTGCTGTGATGCTCTTCGACGATAAAGATGATGATGCTGCTGCTGTTGGATGCGGTTTACTGTTTGCTGTGGCGCCCAACATCATCGACGTTGTGGACACATTCAATTTAGAGGCAGGTAAGGTGGTGTTGGTGGCGGCGGTGTTGGTGATATTCGACAAACTACTACAGGTGGTTGAGAGTGTTGTTGACAGCGATGTTGATGATGATGCTGTCGCTGTTGCAGGGGATGCGGCGACCGGGTTCTTAACCATACGTTGTTGCTTTTGAAGTTGTCACATATCGGTTGTGGTATCGCGTGGATCACCGACATAGCCCTCGTCGGGACTATCGGCCAGTGGACCGTTGAGGTAACGTTTTTTCGTTGTAGCCTTTTCTGTGGCCGTTGTTGTCGCCGGCTCTCCACCCACCGTCATGGAGGAGTTTGAGGGTGAAATTTCACTTTCGTCACATTCGGGTATGGTTGAAGAATCCGCCTGGGCGGCAACGCAACGTTTGCGTCCCTCCATTGTTGTGGTGGCTGGACAGGTATTGGTAATGGTCGCGGATGATGAGGAGGACGATGACGACGACGCCGAGGAGCAAGAGTTGGAGGAGGCCGACGAGGAGGATGATGAAGAGGCTGCTGGTGATTGTATAGAGGTATTAGCATTCACTAACGACGATGTGGCTAAGGAGGAGGGGGTGGAGGAGGAGATGGAGGTGGCGGTGTTACTATTCAGCTGTGAAACTGTAGAGTTTAAAGAGGTAAGTGGTTGTTGCTGGTGTTGTTGTTGTTGTTGCTGGGGACTCAGCATGCCCATAATTGTGGGGGCATAGTGCAGCGGTTGGGCATGATAGCCGGGCAGGCAAGGAGGCCACTGTTGATGCTGTTGTTGTTGCTGCTGCTGTGCAGAGTTTTGCTCTGACCCATTGTTGCAGCTCTTATAGCCTTCCGGTGGTGAGGGATATTGCACTAGATGAGTCTGCGGATATCCTTCGGCCGTAAAACGCACACTGGGCAAATTATATTTGTCATAGGTATTGGGAGTCATGGAGCGTTGCTGCAAGAACTCGGCCTCTAGGCTGTAGCGCATACCATTGTTGTTGGCATTGGCAAATTGTTGTTGTTTGTGCTTGTGTGGTAGTGTGCGGTAGAAATTCTGCTGTTGTTGCTGCTGCTGTTGATGCAAGGCATTTTGCTGTTGCTGCTGCTGGTTGTTGGCCGCTGCTGCAGCCTGTTGTTGCATTAGATGATGATGGGCCGGTGGTTGTTGTGGTGATTGCTGCAAATGGGCATTGCTGTAGTCGTAGGCAAAGCCATCCTGGCCCAAAAAGCACACCGGGTTCAGATGCACATCGACAGGATGTGTGGGTATGGAATTCATGACTGTCTTCAGCTGCATGCCCCGGGGCAGAGTGGTAAGGCCACCAAAGCGAGAGGAGGCGGCCATGGCCGCTGCAGCATTGGGCCTTAGTATTTGGGAGCCAAACTGCGGAGCTGACAGTTGATAATATTGTTCATATTGCACCGGATTTTGACAATCACTTTGACTGTCATACTCCGAGCCGGCAGTGTCCAGTGAGGCGGATGCCTTCAGTTTGTGCTTGACGCCACTTTCGGCATCATTGACCAAATCGGGATTCTTTTCGGTGTAGTTGCGCAGCGATGAGGGTGGCGAACAGTAGGCCAGGCTGGAGCTTAAGGCCGGATTAACCATCAACGAGCTGGGCGGTGGCGGCGGCGGTGTGGCCGATGAGAGGGCGGCCGAGGCAGCGGCTGCCATGTTGACACTCAACTGCAGCGTTTGCGTTGAGCTGTCCATGGGATTATAGAGCATAATGTTCTGTTTCATTTGCTGGCCGAGAATGACACCATTCTCCTTGGCCAATTTGGTGGGTGTTAGGCTGTCACATTGTCCCAATATTAAGCCGGAATTACCATTCAGACTATCGCTGTCATTGATGATGGATGAGCATTTCATGAGGCCGGTATCGTTGCTGGACGACCCATCCGAGGAGGAGGTGTTGCCATTGCCATTGACAGTTGTCACAGCCGACGAGGGACATTTCTTACGTTTCACGGGATTCTGGCGTTTCTTGCACTGGACAATGATAAAGGCCATGATGAGTACGAAAATAATGCCTCCGCCCGCCGAGCTGGCCACAATGTAGTTCATGTAGTTCTGGGGAAAGGATACCTCGTTAACGACGGGCGGCTCCTTGATAATGACACGTATGGTGTAGTTGCTAAAGGTAGTGCCGGCAATGTTTTGACCCACACACGAGAAGGTGCCATTGTCCTCAACGCCCACATTGTAAATGAAAATTTCACTGTGTTTCTCCTCCGACGTGGTGGAGGTTTCATCGATGTAGTACAGCATGTGCATGTTATCGACGAAACTGTCATTGGTCATGACCTGGCCATTGAAAAGCCACAACACCTTGGGTTCGGGTATGGCTCGCACAACGCAGGCAATGGTGAGATTGCGTCCCTCGGACACCTCGGTATAGGTGGATTGGGGAGTTACCTCCGGCAGACAGGCAAATTCTTCTTTCTTCAGTGACTTAATGACCTGACCCTTGAGGCGTAGAGGCTCCACACATTTGGGCTCCTCCGTCTGAGGTGTGTTGTAGCTATTCAACCAATTGTGTAGATCCAACAGACGACAATCACAGGTCCAGCGATTGCTTTGCAAGCTGATGCCATGCAGGGATTTGGGTAAAATATGATTACCCTGGATATAGCTAATGCGATTGCCATCCAAACGCAACCATTCCAGATTGTCCATGCCCACAAATGCCTCATTTTCGATGCGTTCTATTTGACAGTTGCTCAACTCCAATGTCGTGAGAAAAGACAAATAACGAAAGGCGGCCGTCTTAAGTTCCCTTATGGGGTTTCCACTCAACGAGAGGCGCATCAGCGAGCTATAGTCCTGAAAAGTTTCTGTGGGGATGTGTTGTAACGAATTCTCCGACAGATCCAATTCCACAAGATTTGTAAGGCCCCGGAAAGCTTTTTCATGTATTCGTATCAGTTGATTGCGTGACAAATAAATTTTCTGCAAATTTAACAGGTCCATGCGCAGAAAACGTTCACTTTGCAAGACCTGTAGGGCATTGCCGGAAAAGTTCAAGACCTGAGTACCGGGATCCATACCTTCGGGTATATTGGGTAGTGATTGGCCACCACATTCCACCGTCTGTTTGCCACCCTTCCATTTACACATACATACGTCGGGAGGACACGCGAAGATGGGGTCTGCCATTAGCGACCATAGGACGACCAAATAAATACCAAATATGGATGCAAATTTCGTTTTTGTAGGATGTCGTCTAAACATTGTGGTGATTTTTGGTGTTGTTGTTGTAGTCATTTAAAAAATATTGTTAGTAGAGTATTTTGTTGTTGTTGTTGTTGTTGTCGTTAATTTCATACGTATTTTATGTCAAAAAGAAAACATTTTGTTGTCTTCCTTGCAGCAGCCTGGCAAAAATTGTCATTTATTGGGGGCGGGGCCAATGCGAGCGATATTCTTGTTGTTTTCTCGGAGATAAGTGTTCATTAAGCCCAAATGCCATGTAGGACCAGGATTTTGTATTTCAAGATTAGAGCCTTCTCAATGCCACATAAGCCTTTTAGACTAATGACTTAAATCCTTGGAATGACATTCAAACAAACGAAAATTCCTTTAGTCTGTGTTTCAATTTTTTTTAACATGTCAACCAAGTCTGCGAAATAACTGGGCCATATAGTCCTTATCTTGTTTTTCAAGAAAACAAAAAAAAAAAAAAAATACAACTATTTAAGGACCCCAAGTTTTTTTGGTGTTTTCCTACACAGGAACTGATGGTTGTTGGAATTTGGGGTTTTTTCTCTTTCTTGGTTATCGCCTTCCAGATTTCGTTTAGTTTTCCTTTTTTACTTTCTTTCTACCCTCCCACAAATATCTTTTTTATGAACTCTTTCCCATTTGGGTTTGGGACAGTTTTTTTGGTGACTTTGTTAGTTTATTGCGTGGCTGACGTCAGCATATTTTCTATTAGTTTGCCGCTAGTTTGAATCCCCTGAATCTGTTTTTTTTTTTTTTTCTTTTTTTATGAACATCACTTGTTTCACTTGTATTCTTATCGCTGTTCTTTTTGTTGTGGCTGCTGCTGTTTTCGTTCTTGTTTGCTTGCTTGCTGCTTCCTCTCTTGTTTCTTATATTTCCTGTACATCCGGGTATTATTCTATTCAATCTTGGGTTTTTTGGGTTTCCTTCTTCATTTTTTTCTTCTTTTCGCTTACATTCTCATCTAATCATTAAGGCCATTAGTGTCGTTTGGTTACCAGCTGTTCGTCGGAGGTTATTTTTTCAGTTGGTTTCTTGTGGTTAGTTTTTTTTTTCGGCAGTCAGGGTTGACTTTGTATTCTGCAAATATTTGAAAAGAAAAAGAGGGAAGAGAACGAAACAAATATTATTATTTTGAAGTCAAAAAATAAAATGTTTTGAAGAAACAAGTTTAGAAGATATTTCAATTAAGTCATTGATGGATTTACTACATTTTGGATTTTTATACCCTACAACACTATGTGTTGGGGTATTATAAGTTTGATTGAGCCAAAAATTATGTAACACCACGAAATATTGGTTTCCCACATAAGAAAGTATATATGGGTCTTCCTAGCTCGCCGAGCTGAGTCGATCTAGCTATGTATGTCCGTCCGTCCGTCTGTCCATGTTAATTTGTAATAACTCTACAGGTCGCAATTATGGCACGATCCTCACGAAATTGAAGATGGAGGTGGGTTTGAGGCCAGAATAGAACCCTATTTCTTTTGGAGATGATCGCATAATATTTAGGGGTTGAAATGGACCAAAAACTGAAAAATTTCCTGATTTTACAGTTGCTCTATAGGTCGCAATTATAGACCAATCAAAACGGAAGTTAGCATGGGGCTAGAGCTTAAGGCTGGGCAGAAGCCTTACAATTTTGATGGTCATCAGTTAATATTTAGTGGGTGAAATAGACCATAACATTTGTGTTAAATAAAAGTCAAATATTTCATTTAACCGCGAATGTTTTTAATCCCGGCGAAATCACAAATAGACGAAAAGGTCAATTCTGACCGTTACGTAGACGCCGATAGTAAATTTATCGGATATATATAGTGGAATATATACAATGTATACATACAAAGGAAAGGGATGTTAGCTAGAATGCTTATATCTTATGAATGACTGGACCGATTTTGACAAATTTTGTCATTACTGAATGCCCCTTTGGCATAAAAGAAAAAAAAAAAACGCATAAAAAGATGACAATAATGATGTTAATATAGATTTTATTGTATTTTGTGACACTTTTTTATTTTTTCATATTTTTTATCGCATGCGATTTTTTCAATTTTACTTAAAATATTAAAGTGTACATTTTGTAATATTTTTTTCACCTTACAACACAGGTTTTTATATACACATTGCAATCATCGTCCTATCCTCACGAAAATTTTCACAAGGGTAGGGTTAGGGTCAGAAGGGCTAGGCCTATTGTTTTCAAAGATGTCCGCAATATATTTAGGGGTTGATATGGACCATCAACTAAAAATGTTCCTGCTTTTGCAACCGTTATAAAGGACATAAATATAAACCAAAGGACACGAAATCTCGCATTAACTTAGATTTGTGAAAAAATACCAGCATTTCTTACAGGCGATATCCCAAATACACAAAAGGCGAACTTCTGCCTCTTGCTTTTGGAGATGATAGCAAAATTTTTAGGGGTTCAAATGAGCCAAATCTTCCAAAATGGATTTGGACATAAAGGGTCTTCTGACATATTGTAGTGTTGTAGGGTATCACATGGTCGGCCCGACGACTATAGCCTGTGCTTACTTGTTTTTTATCTCACCCTGTATATGTTTCATCCGATTTGGGGTGTAAGTCACAACAATGGTATTTGGTACCAGATATCAGAAATACCTCTGCCAAATGTTATTAAGATCGGTTTAGATATGAATAAAGCGCCCATATATTCCTTTATCCGATTTCCGGTTTATTGTCCACCAAATTATGAATATCAGCCCAAATAGAGTGAATTGTGGCATATCCTACCAAATTCAGTCTGGAATCACGTGCTTTAAATGTAATGAAATCTGTTCATATATAGCTATAGCTCCCATATAAATAAGTAGTTTGTGTTAAAAAGGACCTAGTTTTGTAAATGTGTCATACAAATGCATGAAAATTACTAAACAGTACTACACCTGGTACAATATTTTATTGGGTTCAAAGATAGTGCCTACAATCAGAAATTTGATAGTACGGTTGCTATTCAAGTGTAGCTTAAATATGTGGATGTCGTTTCATGAATGTGTATTTTAATTGTACGAAAAGTACGGAATAATACTATATTTGGTTTTGGGTGAACGGATAGTGATAAAATTCTGAAATTTGATATTCAGGTTACTGATGTTATCTATGTTTGAGATTTGGCAGTGGCTTGAAAATGCATTCAATATATGTACGAAAAGTACTAAATGGTTCCAAATTTGATATTAATGTCTCTATTAATATCTGGAATTGAGATATAGAGGTGGTTTTGGAAATGTGTGCTAAAATTTTACAAAAAGTACTAAATATGGTATTGGGGGAAGGGATAGAGCTTAAATCCCGAAATTTCATATTGAAGTTTCTATTTGTAACTGGGATGAAGATATTGAGGTGGTTTTTGCAATGTGAACTATTATTGTTCGAAAAGTACTTAGTGTTACTAAATTGGGTCTTGGGTGAAGGGATAGAGCTGAAATCCCTAAATTTGATATTGAGATCTTTGTTGGTATATGGGGTTAAGATATGGGTGTGGTTTTGGAAATGTGTACAATAATTGTACGAAAAGTACTGAATGGTACTATATTTGGTATTGGGTGAAGGGATAGAGATAAAAATCTGAGATTTAATATGGGGGGTTAAATATCGAAACCGAGTACCATTAAATGGAAACGTACGTCCCGAAATTTGCACCATTTAGGCTGATATTAGCTATTATTTGCAAAATAAACCTGAAATCGGATTGTGGATATATATGGTAGCTATATTCAAATATAAGCCGAATATGGGGGACTTAAAACTCCAAATCCGATAAAACATATATATAGGAGCTATTGCTATATCAGGACCGAGTTTCACCAAATTTTGATATACTTGCTTCTATTCCGAATTCCGTCGGATGTGCCAAAATTAAGGTCAATTGGACAGATGTTCATTTGGTGCACAATTAACCCGAAATCGGTTGAAGATATATATGGGAGCTATATCCAAGTCTAGATCGTTCTTGCTAAAATTTGGCAGAGATATTTTTGGGCGACTTCTGATATCTGGTACCAAATATCATTGTTGTTTTGGTGCATATTACGAATGTGAGGGACTTAAACCCCCAAATCGGATGAAACATATATATGGGAGCTAAAGCTATATCAGGAGCTATTTTCAAATTTGATTTGATGTACTTGCTTCTATGTAGAATTCGGTCGGATGTGCCAAAATTCAGTCCATATCGGCTAATATTAGCCATTTGGTTTACAATTTACAGGAAATCGGTTGAAGATATATCTAGGAGCTATAACTAAATTTGAACGGATTCTCACCAATTTGAATAGGGTTCGTCCTTGGTCTAAACAAATATTATTTGGAAAACTTTAATTAAATTGGATAATAAATGCGACATCTAAATGTTACAAACAAATGGACAAAGACATATTTAGTGTAGGGTATAAAAAGGGAACCGAAATTACCCATTTTTCAAACAAATGGTTCCTGAAGTAATCCACAGCTGCCTATAAAATTTCATGGAAAAGAATAAAAGTTAGAAAGGCGTCAAACTTTCCCTGCACCATTTTATTACAATTTATGTTGGTCTTAAGATAAAGTTCATTTGACGGATTTAACAATAATTAATAATATTTTTTTTGGTTATAATCTATACAATATACCAGATTTAAGATGCGTTTTATATACTATCTTACTTCAAACTGGAACAAATTTCCTTCCATTCCTTTTTTTTAAAACTAATCATCAAATGGCTACAATTTAGTTAATGTTCTAATTCAAGTACCAATATCCTGACGCGTGTTAAAGTCATGCTATCATAAAACTTGCACCTATTTTTATTTTACACTCCCCCTCTCTCACTCTCCCTTCTCCTCGTTCAGTGGTCCCCAATAAAAACTGAGAAAACAAACATTTGTAGAAATTTAATTTACAAAATACATAACTAAATCCATCACTGGCACTAGCTCTTAACTTTCAACGGCAGAGAACTTCTTTGCCATTAACAGTAAAGAATAGCAGAGTGTCATTCATTTTATTCTTGTCGCTGCTGTCATGGCGCTGTTGTTGTTGTTCATGTTGTTTTTGTATTTAAAAAACTTTTACGCTATAAACTTTAATTAACTAAATTTCTGTCATTTTTTCTGTGAGTTTTCTTTTTTTGTTGCTGGTCTTCCCTAAACTTTTCTCAGCTATTGTCATTGCCATCAACACACGGCATAGTTAAAAGTTAGTAAATTGTTCATCAGCACCAGCAGCAGCACCACTACCATGGCCATTATCTTCAAGTGGTATGGATAGGTCTTCTTGGAATCCACCATGATTGTTATGGTGTCCAATGAATGGATGAATGAGCGAATGAAGATGGAAGACTACTGGAAATTGTTGTCTTAGTGTTGGTGGGTGCGTCAATGGTGGTGGTGTTGGTAATGGTGGTTCTTAGAAGTTGTTTAAATTTTTAAATGATAGAAATGTACCCGGGGAAACAATAGATAACGTTGAACCTACTTATTAACCCACAAAAGTTTATGGGATATGGTTTTATTGCTGCTGCTACTACTGCTGCTGATGCGTTGAACAAAATGTCATTCTTCCGTGTTCGACATGACATGATGATAAGAATGATTCTGAGAGAAGAATTTCATGCCAAAAACTTTAATTGAAATCTAAAGAGGAAAACATACTTATTTTTGAACAATTATAAGTTTTTAAAGTAATTTAGATTTTGTCTTATAATTTTAACGGAGAGTGTGTGTGGATTGTGGTAAAGAGGCATGTGACTATATCGACTACTTCCTTCACATTATATGAGATATGTGAAAAATTTTGGAAAATGTTTAAATGTGCGTGAGGTACCAAATATGGTCGACCGAGGTATTCCATTTTCATACCTTACCTCATAAAGACACAAAATTGCAATCTATGCAAAATCATAAATTCTATATTCATTTCAGGTTTCTGGCTAAGATGAATATTTAGGCGTAGCTAGTTTTAAGTAATCACTGACTGGTTTCGCACGTTATGACAGATAAAAGAATTGGCAAGTAAAAAAGCCTTATGTTCGCCTGGGCCGAACTTTAAATACCGTCCACCATTTGGAACGA